TCTCTTTATTTTCTTTTTTTATTTTGAGGGGTTAATTGGGATTATCTGTTTGTTATTGGGTATTGTGTGCGTTTTTACTATAATTGGGGTATTATATGAGTTATGGTTGCAGCTTTCTGCAATGTGTGTGCCTCTGCTGTAATTATTGAGTGTTCTTTGACTTGTTGTGTATTCTTATTTTTCTTGTTTCCATTGATTTACTTTGTTTCTGGTTTTTCTATCCGGTTTTGTTTTCTTTTTCTGTAAGCGATTGAAGTAAGACTACTGCAAGAAGGTTTGTAATGGTAATGATGCGCCACGTGCTGTGTATCCTCGCTCTCCTGCTCTCATGTGCGTGTGTGCACGTCCTCGCTGAAGAAGTGCCTGCCGCCGATCTTTCCGACCAAGTCCCTGATACGGAGAGTGAGACAAAGATTGTTCTTCAGACTGTTGACAATTGCCGTGAGGGTACTGGTACTCCTGTTGACGGTGAATCTTGTGCTAAGGCTGCTGTTCCTGCTCCTGGTGCTGGTCCTCAAGACCATAACACCAACGGTGACCATCAGAATCAATCTGTAAGTGGTCTACAGCAGGGTGCTGGCGGTAGTGGCCTACCTTCTCAGGCGAGTGGACCGCGTAGTCAAGCTGAGGTCTCTACTACTCACCGTACCACTCCTCAACACGAGAGGGGGGACGGGGAACGTGGTGCAGAGGATGGTGCAGGAAGGAGTCAAGAAATTCACCAGCAGCAAGAAGACCGTGAAGATTCCATACAAAGTAAAGAAGCAAAGCCTGGGGTGACACACAACTCAAATCAAGAAGCTTCACCACAACAACCTCAACAAACTGGTGATACATCCAATAATAGTAGCGCAGTCAACACCAGTGCAGCCAGTGGAGAAGGTACAGGTGCACAATCATCTCCTACTTCTGCATCTTCTCAAACTGATGGAACTGCAGATGGTGGTAATTCTGCAGAGACAACAACGAATAACTCAGCGAGTACGAACCCTGAAACTGACAATACATCCACTAATGAGGAATCAACCACTACCACAACAACAACAACACTTCCTCCTGAGACTACAAACAACAACAAGAAGGGTGATGCAGACAGCAGCAGCAGTATCATCAGTTCTGTGTGGGTGCGTGTACCACTACTGATTGTGGTTACA